CGAGTTAGATTTTTGAACTGTCTCATAGAAGCTGAACTATCACCGACGCACTATGCGAAGGTCCCATATAAACAGGTGGCCAAAAATATGTTTATCACTTAAACTTTTGCGAGGGGCACGCACAACCTATACTTTGATGCTTTGTACTCAAATCGTTAGCTGATTCATGGTTGTAGTTATGGACTTAAAATTGTATTTATACGTAATTAGCGTGCTCAAAATAAGTACAGAAGTATTTAAGTGTGCTTTAAATACGTTAATGTAATCAAAGCAGTACTTTAATTACTTTGCTGTACTTTAAATACTTCAAGGTATTTGTGCCGGACTTCAAGTACTCAAGTGCAATTAAGGTATACTTAACGTTCTTCTGATTAAAATTATTGTAATTAAACCAATTAAAATGTTATTACGAATATGGTTATTGCGAGTTTTCCTTGGTTGCTTTCATACTGCTGTACTCTAACGGAACACTCTCCTCATTTATCGTATAAAAATTTCCACTTTAGCCTGTTATTTGAAATTAGCATCTTCAACTGTGTAAATAGTTAACTTCACGCAGAAGTAAAACAAACAAATAGTTAATAACTAATTGGAAGGTTTGTTTAAGAATGGAGGAAACAAGTGTTGCTCATAATTTTTGATGTCAATCATGGAATTGATCAATTTAGATGGTCAAGTTTTGAACCCACCACAGCATGCTTTTGGAGCTACTGTATATGGACGATAAAATGTAAAATACTGTGGTAGCCATAGCATAGTTCTGTCAAAACCTCAGCATTTTCATTGATCCATTAGGAACCTTGTCTGTCAATGGATCAATGAAAATACTGAAGTTTTGACATTTACTGTGGCTACCATAGTATTTTACAGTATTTTATCGTCCATATACAATAGCGCCAAAAGCATGATGTGGTGGGTTCAAAACTTGACCATCTGAAATGATCAATTGTAGATCACCCCCGTCGTGTAGGAGCCAATTGGCAATTACGTTAATTCCTCTTCGATAAATAAATTATTTGCGCGTACCGAGGCGCTTACAGCGCAGCTTTGCTTGTAAATAGGCCTCATGCAAGGTAGGACAAGCACCTAATGTGTGACAGATATGTGATTATGGGTAGTACCGAGTTTGAAAGTGTATACACGTAACGTAATACAAACGTATATAGTCGTAGCATCCACCCACCGCTGTTTTTCGGCTTTATGATTTATGTAAGATTAGGTATTTTTAAGTGTGTATACACATATTTTGAATCAGTGAAAGTTGCTCTTCTTCTTATTATTCACCTGAAGCCCCATAGTGCGACGAACCGATATGATACTGGAGCACAGGTTTAATGAAACCCCTTAAGGTGATACTCTAAGGAAGCCTTAGCGTGAAACTTTAAAGGCACAAATGTCAGCTTCCACAAAACATGCAAATTTGAAATTGCTACTCCTTGTTTACTGTGCTACTACAAACAGAGAGTAGCTATTTCAAACTTGTATGTTTTGTGGAAGCTGACATTTGTGCCTTTGAAGTTTCACGCTAAGGTTTCCTTAGAGTATCACCTTAAGCTCACAAAAGGTTAGCAAATACTCTTTCCGAGTGCCCTCACCTTGAGTGATTACGGAGTTGCTAAAACTTTAACGCAGCTCTCATATTTTTTCTAAGGAAGCTTTCATGAAAGTTATGCCACTTTCAAGGAAGTTCTGTGAACTATAGAGAAGTTTAGTGAACTTCAGGAAACAGCAGTAAATTGTAGGAATGTTCTGCAAACTTTTAAGACGTTCTGTGAACATCAGTGCAGATTTTCGATCTTAAGGATAGTATTCCAAACTTCAGAAAAAAAATCTGCAAGCTTCAGGAATATTTTGCAAACATCCGGAATGATCTGCGAACGTCAGACAAACTCTACGAACTTCAATTAAGTTTTACGAACATTATGGAAGTTGTGAAAACTCCTGTTAAGTTCTGGAAGGTTCTTAGAATTTAAGGGAACTGCTTTAAACATTAAGGGCAATCTGCATTTCCTTCGGCATGTTCTTTGAACTTAAGCGAATCTCTGAACAGTCAGATAAATTACTACAATCTTTATACCAAAGACATCTACATCAATTCTGAATCGAAAGGTGTGAAATGAACTAAAATTCATCAATAAATGGACAAGTTATAAGTGATTAAAACCTAACACTATTTTGTTACACTATTTTTTTGATTTGCACCCCAGTGTAGTCCACAAAAACGTAGTTCTACATTAAAAAAAATAAATAAAAATAACCATTCTCGGTTGCCAACAGATTGCTAAATGAGTGTAAATGCTACCTAGAAAGTGACACAGACTCGAAAGGCATTAATTAAGATCTACTTTTGAATATTATTGAGCGATTCCTTGCCAAAAAGGCCTTTTTTATATTTAAAAAATACTAATCATGCCCCTTCCAAGTGAGGATTTGCAGCAGTTTCCATTTCAATTCTTACTTAACTTACTGTACTGTATTGAGTATACACAAAAGGACAACACCAAAATCATTCGAAAATGGCGGTTATCATTATGTGTGCTTATAATTTCTGGAACAGTCTACACATTTTTTGTTAAAACGCTCGAAAATTAGCTATGTCTTAAGATTTCGATTACAAAGTGGCATCAATCTGCAAAAACTAAATGAAAATATCATATAAAGACTGGAACGCGCAAAAATTGGTCGACAAAAAAATCTTTTCTTTTAGTCAAAATTCTTATCACAAAAGTCTTCTTATTTTTCTTTTGGTAGTCCAATTCATATATTTAAGGGGAAAAATGTTCGTTTGTTATTTTGGTTTGCCAAATCCGAACTGCCGTGCCTTTCGCTTTACCCCTTCCATTAAATTTTGCACAGTGGTCTCATCGACCTTATTCGCCGCCGAACGCCAGTTACCGTATGCGTGATAATGTCCCATAATGCAATGGTATGAAACATCCCCCCTTTGAATAAATAAAAAACTCGATAACGAAATTTTTGAGATTTTTTTAATTTTGACATTGCTCAATGAGCAATGTCAATATTAAAAAAATCTCAAAAATTTCGTTTTCGAGTTTTTTTATTTATTCAAGGGGGATGTTTCTCAGAGTCTTAAACTATGTTAATTATCGATCGAGTTTCCACTTGCTGCAATTAAGGCCTCCACACGCTTCCGGAATGCACGGCAGGTTCTATTAATGCAATCTGGATCCATTTCTCTCCAGGTACGGGTCAATGTTTGTCTGAGGCTTGCTGTACTCGGGTGGCGTTTAGAACAGGTCTTGGCCTTCAAGACGCGCCATATTGAGTAATCCAGTGGATTAAGATCAGGGCTGGATGGCGGCCAAATATCCTTCGTCCAGAACGGAAGATGTTCCTGCAACCACTTCTGAGTGCGGTTCGAGGTGTGGCACGGAGCCCCATCTTGTTGAAATACAATATTTGGCTTCGGACCGTACTTTGATCCACGCAAGAACATACTTGCTTAAAATCCCGATGTAGACCTCCGTGTTGACCTTGTCGGCTTCTGGAATGAACACCGGGTGCATTTTTGCCATCGGAAGCCACCAATCCAAACACCATAAAGCTAGCAGGATACTTGGTCAGATACACGTTCTTGTGCTCGTCGGCCACGTCTTTTACCGGAAGAGAACTAATATACCGGGTGGTTCTGAAATTTGATACGGGATCGACAGTTAACATGCTCTCGTCGGTGAAGGATTACCGGATTTTTTTGCTTAAGGAAGTTCAAGATTTTCTTGTATCGTTCGACTCGTAGCTCCCCTTTACGATCTTCCGTGCCGTAAAGTCACTGATCCCGTGTTCCTTTGCCATTTTCCTTATTGAACGCACTGGATTCACCCAAATCTTCCTTTTGATAGCAGCGATAACCCTCGGAACCCGAGCTGACCTCGGACGATCTGTGGCCACCTTCGCGGATAGTTGTCCTTTCTTTTCTCGGTCTAAAACCCTTTTAACGGTCCACCGGGACACACCCACGGCAATTGAAATGTTTTTTTGCGACATTTGCGCGTGGGACAAATCACAAATACGCTGCCACTTCGTCATGGTGCAACTGTCAAACTAAGTTAATCATTTTCTTTTATACACAGCCTACTACGGTATGAGCTATAGGTTACGTGCATGCAAAGAAAACCAAGGCATTGTATGCACAGGTGAAACGGGAACCTTATTTGTACGATGGTGCAAGCATTATCACGCATACGGTAGATTTAAACTGCTGCTCCATGGTGTTTTCCATGGATTTATTAGTTTTTTTTTAGATTCCGTTTGACCAAGGCCCAATACCGTTCGATAGGGTGAAGTACTGGGCTGTTGGGAGGGTTGTGGTCTTTGGGTACCACAACCACGTTGTTCGCATCGTACCACTCGATTGCCTTTTCCCATAGTGGCAGCTCGCCAAATCCGGCCAGAATAGCACAGGTCTATTATGTTGCTTTAGGAATGGTAGCAGCCGCTTTTCCAGCCACTCTTGGACGTAGATCTCTTGATTGATGGTTCCCGTAGTAATGAAAATGCCGTTTTTTAGAACACACGCGCATATGGCCTGAAAGACGAGATATTTTTTCGGAAACTTCGATAGTTTGATGGTTTTGAAAATTCCAGCCACCTTACCTCTTCCTGATGCGGTATAAAACTCCTGTCCCGGAAGCTGCTTGAAATCCGCCTTCACATAAGCTTCGTGTGGGAACGTCGGATTCTCTTGCTGCGCGAGCAAAATTTTGACACGCTGCTCCTCTTGCTTGGATGTCATTTTGAAAACTCATCATAGCAACCATTGTTTATATACTCAACTTCCAAATGCAGCATTTCAGATTTTTTAAATGCATTTTTAACAGAAATTCACCAATTTGAAGTTGACCAATTTTTGCGCGTTCCAGACTTTAACATAGTGAAAGTAGCTGGGATGCACTTACATTTGATGTTTGCAGGGGAAATCAATCACTTATACAGCAAAACATAACTAACAATTATTAAAGCTCTCTTTTCCTTTCCCACAGGCCCAGTCGTATTCCCCGCACCGCCCACCGATGGACCAATGGAGACCAGTGGAGTCGTCGTCGGCGCTTCCGGCTACGGTTTCGTGCCCCCAAACACCCCCCAAAGTAAGACCGTCTAAACGCTTTATACAAAGAAATGCGCAAACCAACCTTATTTTCCTACGCCTACTACCACTACCAACTATACCGCTTTCTGCCTTCTTGTAACCCAAATGTAGTAGGGGCAGTAGTGACCCAACGACGATCGAATTCGACTAACCCGTCGCCGTCGTGGCCTACTGCTTCCACCACCCTACCACACATACTGCCCTTTTTTTGACTGGTTTTCAAACATTCTAACACACTGACTCGAGGTAATAGAATGCATGTTGCATGTGTGATTTTGTTGTTGTTGTTGTCTATTCTACGCCAATTTTGGAACGGCGAAAAATGAAGCAGAAAGCAACAATTCCAATTAACCGTCTGAACGCTCCAGCGCCCCACGTGGGAAAGAGTCGGTGCCGGTGTGTAAGAGAGATCATAACCCAAACGAGGTGGAAACACTAGCAGCCATCGTTAATTGCATGAAGCATGAAGCATGAATGGAAATTAATAAACATACATTTGATCATGAACTACAACGAAAGGAACAAAAAATAACAATTAAGCTTGCTCGCGTGGAATGTTTGTAAATATGATGGAGACTAGACCGAGCAATGCGCCTCTAGGCTAGGATCAGCTGTGTATTGGCTTGCATGATGATGATGATGATGGTACTAAACCTAGTTGTGTAAGAATCGGAATTAACTCTCCTTTAGAATGCCAAATGTAAATAATCCCAAAAATGCCTAATGTAAATTTTGTCTTGCGATTGTTTATAGTGTATTTTTAAGAAACGGCCAACCGCCACGTCCCGGCCGAGCTGGAGCAATACTTACCATCCCCAATAGGCATGATTAGAGTGAATAACAGCATCGATTTGTATGTGTGTGTGTTTGGGTAAACAATTTTCGCTAACAACCAGTCAGTCGCTATAGATAGTCCAAGGAATGCGAAAAGTCGATTACCGTCACACTAACTACAGTAACTGCCAATATTGTTTTCTCAAAGAATGATGTTTTGCTAAAACCAGTGTTCCCCATTTCGTCTTTTCCGCAGATTCGTTCAACTCTTATTACAGAAATCTAAGATACTTCTAAGTCACGCTTGAAATATAATGTTTCGTTTTTCTGATTAGTCTACTGTATAAAGGAACCACAACTAATGCTACATCGTATTATAGTCGCTAATTGTACAAGGATCCATATTTATAGATATCCAAACTTGGGCTTGGCCCGAGCTGAATTTGATGCCATATCAAATTTTGACCCCAATTTGAGTTTTTTTTCCGGTTCTATTTTCTTATCCCACACAATTTTCATTTGAAAAAAAAAACCACTTTGTATTTATTTGTAATTACTTGTATTGTATACGTATAGGAAAAGACAATTGTAATTTAAAGTAACGTTAAGTAGCGCTGTACAAATCTTATCGTCGAGAACACCTGAACCTGGATTGTGTAAATTTGAGAACCTGTATTATAAGTTTGAAATGCTGTTTTAATTTAATAAATTATTTTTAGTTGACATTTTAAATGTAAACAAACGAAAACAAAAACAACAAAACTTAACTGGTTTTTATGACTCAATCTAACCCCCTATTACCGATGTAAATAGTGTTTGAGTGCGGGTTGATTGTTTCATTGGTGTTGACGGATTAACTTCTTTATAATGACACTGACATTACTAACAGACATTCTTGACAATCAGTTTGAACAGATCATACACGGCAAACAAATTCACATTCCCTTGATTGACCGAAAATGTGGCATGACATTTTCTGCAAATCATGGTCAATTTGCTCAAGGTTCATGTCATTTGCTGCGAATAATTTCGATACCTATAACTTACAGATGGGAGGGAGCAATAATAGTAATCGACACTGCTTTAACATGACCAATAAAGTAGAAATCTTCACGGGCGAGGCGGCAGTGCCATGGTATGGCTGTGGTGTGTCTTGTTGAGAATTAATTTTTATGGTGCAATAATGGGTGTCTCGTAATTGTGCTACTGGGCAGGTTATTGGTACATGCGAGTAAGTACACAAGGAATCGAGCACATATTATCTGGCCAATTTGATCACCAATAGCACCAATTCTTCGGGCGCCAAGGAGCGTATAAGTATGATCGGGTATAGTGGGTATTTGTCGCTAAGCGGATCGTTTGGGTCTTGTGGCATGATGGACAGATTGCAAAGTGTGGGCCATGTAGGGGAAGACTGTCCAAAACGCACTGGCGGGGTAATTGGTAAATGATCGAACGCGTTTTATCAATTCTGCGATTTGACGTGGAGTAATGCAAGTTGAAGTAATGCTGCTCGATAAATCTACAAATCCTGGAATGGGGAAGCTGTGAATTCAAATGAAAACGTGTTGAGCCATATTCCACTGAGGGTTCGTTTTTGGACTGTTCTCCCCTACGAGCTGGTAGTTGCAAGATGATTGCGGTTCAATGGGCATTGACTTCATTGTTTGATGGTAATCTTAGTTGGTGTGTATTTGTCGTATTGCATGTTCCTATGTTTCTGTCGAAGAGTTCTGTCTAGAGGAAACAAAATCTGCATTCGCAATTTATGTGTCAATTCTGAAAGGTACACATTCTGCCAAAAATCCATTCAATATTGGAAAGAGCTTTGCGTATATTTTTTCAAGCTCATTTGCCGTAGCTTTTCGGAGCCGATTTTCTTTGTTTAGATTACAAAATTACATAAAACTAACGTTAGTAAAGCGGGGGCCGCGGCTATCTCGAGGTTAGGGGTAACAAATTGTAACAAATGGATGACAGGGTAGGGATTAAGAACACAAGGTTTGGAGAGCAATGATCTCGAACAAAGCAATATACTGATGAAAAAGACAGACATGGGGGTACACCAATGGGGAGCTAACAACTTGAGAGAACACAAGATGACACTAACTACTATCCTATCCTCAGATCTATTCTAATAGAGATCTCGGCTCGCCAAGATGTCTCTGACAAGGATGCGGATATCAATTTGCGCCTGCGAGCCCGATTCGAAAGAAATGGGAGTCTAACGAGCAGTGATTGGACATGAGCCTCGACATGACACGTCTAAAGTCACGGCTCATGTCCAACCCTTTGAACCACGGCTTGTTCGACACCAGTGGGTGAATAGAATGGAACCATCTTCCCAGATCACTCTCATACCCTTTTTGTTGCCAGTTGGTGAGGACTTGCTGACGGGTAATTGAGAAAAATTCCGCAAAGGCGATTTGTCGATCGCCTTCCATAGCGCCCACTTTAGCCATCAAGTCCACTTTCTCGAAACCTGGAGTAGATCAATGAGATGGGACTCATACTAAAGTGATCGTATAGGAGCAGTTAGATAAAGTACTCAATTTGGCTCAGATTTCGGTCAGGAAATACGAGGAGGCCTCATTGAACGAGTAGCGTCCCACGAGTTAAGGCTATCCGTAAAAATGAAATAGTGATCAGAGAGTAGTGAGGCAATTTGCTCTATTGCGTAGAATATGGCTGCTAGTTCCGCAGTGTATACCGAACAGGGTTTTTGCAGTTTATATGAGGCGCTATGAAATTCGTTGAATACGCCAAATCCAGTGGAAGCCGTTATAGTTGACCCATCTGTGAAAAAACTCCTATTGTTACTGACATGGTGGTACTTGTTTGCAAAAATTACCAGACACATAAAGACTTGAAAGATATATCCTTTAGTTGAAGCTGTAACTGTGCAGGATGATGCTGCCTAGAAAAAACAATCAACTCAGTTTTTCCGGAGAGAATTCGAAACCTAGCTACATAGCCCAAGCAGACAAATTGTCTAAAGTATCTTGTAATGGTCCTTGTAGGTCCAGTGCACTTGGCTCGGTGACGGAAACAACACCATCATCTGCAAGCTACCTTAGCGAGCAAATTTCATCAAGACAACCATCAATGTCTTTTACATAAAAAAATATAAAGAAGGGGACTTAAACATGAGCCCTGGGGGAGACCCATGCAACTAATTCGTGAAGTTGTCGAGCTTCCATGAGAAAAGCTTATATATTTCTCAGACAACAAGTTGCTCAAATAGTTGCTCATAATTGGTGAGATGGAATGGAAGCACTATTTTCCAAATGCTTTTTAGCTTTCATGTGACTTTTTAGAGCTTTTCTACCCATATTACTGAGAGAAAACACGCACTTGCTATTGACACTAACGTTCCAGGATAAAGGCTGACTTAAAGTAAATTGGTACGCACAAAAAGACCTGTAATTCGTGATTCAATAAGTTTAAAAAGTCCATTAATTGTTACTTTACACTACTTTTATTAAAACTTCATAGTTACAGCATTAGATGGTTACATTTCTCCAGTTCGAACGAAATCTCGAACCTTCCTCTTGATGGAGCCCATCAGTGCCCGCACAGTGGAAACGGACACGGAATCAGCGCATTTCTTCCAATTTGTCCGCATTTGCTGGATGTCCTAGACTGCCCCGCCACTTCGTTGAAGTCGTTGCTTAGAAATTGCCCAGCATTTTTCGATTGATCGAAATTCCGGACAATTCGGAGGATTCATTAGCTTGGGGAAACACCCTTTTAAGGCATTCATCGATGTAAACTTGGGATGTCTTCCTCGCGGATGTGATGAATAGTTCCGTTTTCAGGCCACAACTCCAAATCGCTTGCCAAATCATGGCCTTTTTCGCAAACTTGTCGGCAAACACGAACTTGAATCTTCCCGGCACATTCCCACGTCCAGTCGCGATGCAAAACTTTTGACCGGGAAGCTGCTTAAAATCGAGTTTGACGTGTGTTTCGTCATCGATCAAAGTGCAGCCCTTGTGTTTCGTCAAAGCATACAAGAGCCTTGCACGCTTTTTGGTCACCGAATTCTGCTTTATATGCAGGTTCGGATGTTTCCTGGCTTTGTTCGACTTCTAGCGTTCCCTGGCAAGGATGTTCCGCACCGTTTGAAAGTTGGCGTTGTACCGCAACACCTTGCTGACGATCCCTGGTTCCAGTTTTGTTGTAGGTCCGCTGCTCCCTTTCCACACTCAGGGTTTCCTTGTAGGTTTTGAGCACTCGACAAACTGTTGTTTTTGGCATCTTCAGCACTTTAGCCAGCTTGGAACCGGACCACTCCGGATTTTCCAGGTATTTGCGCAGAATATTTTTTCTTCTTTCGAGTTCCATTTGACGTTATTACTGAACGCGATCGGCTACTTTGATCAAAATTGCACCAATTTTTCTCTATAGAAGTGTAAACAAACCACACAAACAAAATAGACGGCTGCAGTCAGTCAGCAATAAAAGGCTATCGAAGTGGTAAGCGGGACCCACAAAGTATCGTCACCCTCAGCGTCAGCGTCTAATTTAAATCTGATCAAAATTGACGAACTGACGCAGCGTCGATGTAAAGTCGCCTAGTTGAGATGTCCGTGGAAAAGCAACTTGACATGCGTTACACCTTTCATTTGACGGACAAACCCCTTCGCCAACGCTGACGGTGACGCAGTATTGTGGGTCCCGCTGGAGCGACGGAAGCTTGCGGCATCTGCGTTAAATTTGAATCCCATCAAAATTGGTGTTGACGTTACTGTCCCGGTTACTGTAGCTCTTTACTCTTATGACAAATTCCATCAAGTATCATTCTGTAGTGCGCGAAAATATGCGGCCTGCTCGTGAAGAGCCGAAGCCGTCAACGTGAACTGACGAACGGGACTTCACGTCCTGTGAAGTCACCAACATTTGCCTTGCGGTACAACTGTCATTTGACAGATGAACGCAAAGCTGTTTGGATTGCATTTTTTTCAGTACGCCCTCGGTGAACAATATTGAGCGCAAAGTTACTTTTACTCAACTTCGAAGGAACGATACATACATACATACATTTATTTGTACAACATCACATTTAAGATAAGACATAATCAACAATAGTACGCCACAATACTCGGTTTGCGGCTGCCGCTCTCCATCCTCGGTCATGTCCAATGCTCGCTAGTCCGCCTGGTCCGCCCATCGTGCTCTCTGCGCTCCACGCCTTCTTGTGCCAACCGGATCAGTAGCGAACACCAACTTTGCAGGGTTGTTGTCCGGCATTCTTGCAACATGCCCTGCCCATCGCATTATTCCGGCTTTGGCCACCTTCTTGATGCTGGGTTCGCCGTAGAGTGCAGCGAGCTCGTGGTTCATTCTTCGCCGCCACTCACCGTTCTCCTGCATACCGCCGAAGATCGTCCTTAGCACACGTCGCTCGAAAACTCCGAGTGCTTGCAGGTCCTCCTCGAGCATAGTCCATGTCTCGTGTCCATAGAGGGCCACCGGTCTTATTAGCGTTCTGTACATGGTACATTTGGTGTGGGGGTGAATCTTTTTTGACCGTAGTTTCTTCTGGAGCCCGTAGTAGGCACGACTTCCACTGATGATGTGCCTTCGTATTTCACGACTCACATTGTTGTCAGCCGTCATTAAGGATCCAAGGTAAACGAATTCCTCCACTACCTCGAAAGTATTTCCGTCTATCGTGACATTACTTTCTAGACGAATCCTGTCATGTTCGGTTCCGCCTACTAGCATGTACTTTGTTTTTGACGCACTCACCACCAGCCCGACCTTTGCTGCTTCGTGTTTCAGGCGGGTGTATAGTTCTGCCACTGTTCCAAATGTTCTTGCGATAATGTCCATGTCGTCCGCAAAGCAC